CCACATGGAAAAGCCTCAAAGATTCATGGTTGCTCTAGTACTCACCAACATATACTGTATTATTTATTCTGGGTCACCTGGATCTACCCATAACTACAGTAAAATTATGAATTATACAATGGAATATTGAAGAATCTAGCTCTTTTTTTCTCCACAAAACTCAAATGTGGCAGATCATTGTGGAAAAACTTTGACTAATAGAGACTTTGATATATAATTTGACATGAATATGACAATAAGCAAAGACATGGAAGATAGATTTTTATATATTGTTAGATTTCTCTTCTTCATCTTATACTACAAGAAAAACTAAAGTGAAATTTAAAGGTCCCAATAATTTTCTAATTTAGGATATAAAATTTTATCAGTTATATAACATGGCTAGTTAAAAACCAAAACTCTAATAAAACTTTTATGTTACATGAAGACTTGGTGAGTTCTATATTATTATAAATTAATCTGTGTATTTTAAGGGTGACTCCTCTGATTCTCCAACTGGAGTATTATATTACTTCCAAAGCTTTTGTTAGTTTAGGTATTGACAAGCACATTCCAGTATTCTCACTTCATTGTTAGGATAAAGTAACAGAGTCAGATTTAGCATTATCATTATTGACCAATATATTAATTTGCACTAAACTAAATTCTCAATCCTTAAAGTAACAGTTCAACTGTTTTATAAATAAATCTATTCACTGAGCTTTTTCAATAAGTCAATGTACTTCTGAGTTGTTGATGGTGAGTTTTGTTTCCTTGTTGTGCTTGACAATACTCTTCAATGACCAATTTCTTTGTAATTGTTTCAGACACAAAAATCTCTCTTGGTAAAAAATTTGTCTATTGAAGCCTTTGGGGGCTATATATAGATAACATATATTCCTGTGTGTGTGTGTGTATATATATATATATATATATATATATAGATATATAGATATATAGATATATAGATATATAGATATATAGATATATATAGATATAGATATAAAATAGATATAGATATAGATATAGATATATAGACAGACAGACAAATGACACAGAAGACATTTTTTTCCTGTGTCCATGGAAGAGAAACTTAAATTCTCTGCTGCCTGATTCTATTTAAAACTTTAGGTGTTTGAAATAATATTCAAGGGAAGAATAGCTGGTTATTTACTTATTTGGAAAATGTAAAATATGAACAGATGACTTCAGAGCATTCTAAGCTTGTGCCCTAATATTTTGTCTTCTCACTAAATCATTTTCTTGAATGGTACTTTGGCACTCTTTTTGTTTTATGCACAGGCATGCTGATAGAAAAATATGGCAATATAAACACTAATATAAGGATACTATCTCATTTATAATCCATTTTATTACTTCTGAATCTAAGTCCTAGAAAAAGGTATCATATTATTAGTAAAAATTATTTTAATGATTGTTTTGATAACTTGAACACCTGGAGTCTCATAAATAGGTTTAGTTCCTGGTTTTGTCTGCTGAGAAGCTTGTAGCAAAATTCATGGCTGTCTTTTTTCCTATCCATTTCACCACCCATGAGATATTGTGAACATATTTGTGTGAAAAGATTTTTTTTATCTTCCTAGTGTAGTTTTCCCTCATTTTCTAATTTCTTTATGCTTGTCCAGTTCCACAATTTCTCTCTTTAGGCCCTGCAAAATATTTTTTGAAATTATATATATATATATATATATATATATATATATATATATATACAATAACTATAATTAAAATACTTTAAAATAAAATTGAAAATATTTGCTGTGATCAATACAATTGAAATGTTTGAAATGTTTGTTTAGATAAACTTAGGGTAAAACAATCACTATAGTGGTAACTGAAATTTTCATGTGTGCAAAAAAATACTTACCTATACATTCAAATATTTGTAGACTAAGTGAATATATTTTGGATGAACAGAACTGATAGAAATTCAGTAGAAATAAATAAAACAGTTTAAAAATAAGTTAACTATACATACTCAAATTTTCTCCAGTTATTAAGTACTTGGAATAACTGGCAAATGTAGTTAACATGTTGAATTTAAATGCTTGCTTAGCTTAATTTTTAAAGAAACTGATATCTATCCTTTGAAATATGTGAGAATTGCAGCTTGAATCTAATTCCCCATCTAACAAGAAAGCACGTGAAATAAGAATAAACTTAACTGGACACATCTTCATACCACTCAAGCTTTCTATGTGACAAAGAGAGTCTAGAAATATTTGCAGAAAATACTCTTTTTTATTTTACTGATTTTATGGCAAATTTAGAACTTTACCATGAAACTATATCTCCTTAGGTAATTTAGTCAGCAACTTCCTGGGGATTCTGATACACAGAATTAATTTATGGCATACTTTTAAATTTTCTCTTAATCTGTTTGTAAACTATAATCAGATTTTTTCCAATCACTCCTCCTCTATACAATATTATAATCGCATTCCACTTTATATTTATAGAGCTACTCCATTTTACGTGCTGAATTCTAGCCTCCAAAACTCATGACGTCCTGATTGGCAGTAGCTCAGAATGTTAAAATATTTGGAAAATGGCATTTAAAGGTATAAGTGTATTACAAGAAATCAAGATGATGTCTAACCCAGTAAAATTATTGAGAAATTCGGGACACAGACATGTATGGAAAAAAAAGAGTATGAAGACCAAGATGGGCATATATAAGCTAAGGAAGACAGGCTTCAGAATAAAGGAATCCTCCTTATACCTTGATCTTGGACTTCCATCTCCAGAACTGTGAAAAAAATAAATTTCTATTGTGTGAACCACTAGCCTATAGTATTCTGTTTTAGCAGCCATAACAATCTAATATTCCTGCTTAATTTGAAAGGAGCAATGTAAGATATTATCCATGTGGCAAGAAGCAGATTTCTGAAAATAAAGTTTAGATGATTTTCATGAATCCCTAAAATTTACTATTGCTTGTTCCATGCACGTGTTACTATATTTCATATTTTGATGGGTCATGGATATTTTGGGTCCTGTGTGTTTGATGTTTTATGGGCACTCATGCTGAAAACTGTCATTTGTAGGTCATGTGCTTTCTTTTAAATAGAGAGACAGCTCATAAAGCCTTTTTCTGCCTTTATGTAACTATTGATGTAAAGGGCATGTATGATACCACTCAGACCAAAATAATTGCGTCCCAGAATGCATTTTCTCCTTATTTATTTAAATACAACATCATTTAGAAAGGAGACATGACCACTCAGCTAGAGACCATATTTTGTCACCCTCCCTGAGGGATAGATAAGAGTTACACAAGTTTTGGAAAATGAGGTAAGAGCAGAAATATGTGTGGAACTTTTATAATGTAGTCACAAGAGAGAAAAGCTTGTCTTCCACTTCTCTATCTCTACTGTGGTACACTGGAGTTAAGGTGTGACATTAGTAAGCAAGCTTCACACCCTGTGAGTACAAATACATAGAAGAGCGCAAAATGATGGAATGAAAAGGACCTAAATTTTGGAATGACTTCATATAGCAAAACTACTTCCTTTACTCTGAACTACTGACCTCACCTGAGATACAATACACCTCTATCTTCTTTGAGTGACTACATTGTTGGTCTATTTCTTGTAGTAGCCAAGCTGTACCTAAGCATATAATTATTTAATGAAAATAACCAAAAAAATAAATAAAATAGAAATGAGTTACATGTTTAAATGATAAGGTGAAAATAAGACCAATGTAATTATTAATCTGCACTCTGTATTCTTATTATAATAATCACACATAATACATGCTCCTGAATTAATAACCATAACTCAAAATCTTATCTCTAGCACTTAATCTATTTTCAATGGGAAGAAAATTAATTTTATTCACTACTATTTATTTGAAATTTTTTATGTGTTAAACTTTTAACCACTAGTTATCCTCTAAACCTACATAAATAAAAACAGTTTTCAGTTTGGGTTTCATTATGATTGTAAGTTGCTATATGATGTACTTAAAATTTTCCAACTATGAATAATTTGAATAGACACACTGAATTAAAAATAAACCATAGATCTTTTTAAAACCTAGTTAATGCATGCATCCATGTCTTTTAATTTTTAAAAAAATCAAGATGGTTGTTATTCTATTACATATTTAATTTTTTAACAAAATATTCTAATGCCTTGGCAAAGTTTGAGATGGGAAATATGCTATTAATATCACAAATTCCCTTTATATCAGCCCACTTTCAAATAATCTAGTAACAAATCATCTGGAAAAAAATTAAGCTATGAGTGCCATTACCTTAAATTCTAGGCAGCGATAAATGTCTGATTGGCTGTCAGATAAATAGTAAGAATTTATCAGGTGATAATGAAAGGACACCCCATGGCCTTTGGTGATGGAAATGATACAAATCACTAGAGATTTTTTTTTTATTATGACCTTGTCAATTTGCTGATCTTTCAAGTTCTATCCAGTCCAATTGTCTGCAGTCACTATGATCTTCTCCATTTCATGGTTGTAGTGTTCACCTGTGCAGTCTGTTCTTAGGTATGCTAATAGAATATAAAGCCTCATTTCTGAACTGACTAGCTGACCAATAAAATATATACATATATGTATATATATATACACATATATGTGTATATATATGTGTGTGTATGTGTGTGTATATATATAAAACGTTCTTAAGATCTATCTATATCTATATCAATATCTATATCTATATATGTATGTATGTATGTATGTGTATATATATATATATATATATATATATATATATATATATATATATCAAGAACTTATTTATAACCAACTTGATTCCAAATAAACTTTGAGGAGACTCTTGCTAAAACTTACCACTGGCTTTATTATAGTCTTGAAATATACAAAAACTACTATTTAATCTTTGAGGAGAGGGAAAAATTAAGCAAGATAATATTTATAATTCTATTATTGTTTCACATTAATACTTCCTTATAAAATCATATTACTATGTGTTTTCATATGTTAAATATAACCTGCAGTGATATGTGTTTTACCTTTCCCCAGGCAATTTCAGAATCCAAATTACTAGGCATTCCTTCAACTGCTGATCTCTTTGTCAATTCCATATCTGTAGCTGCCAGCCATTCTGTCAAGACATTCATTTCCTTCCGCATCTTACGGGACAACTTCAAGCATTTCTCCAACTGCTGTTTTCTTTCTGTTACCTGAAATGAAAGATAATAAAATGTAATATGGTTTACTTTCCAACTCATGTTTACTTACAGCTACTTAATTGGAACTTTCGTATTTCTGTCATTTTAAATTAACAATTTCCTTCCATATCTTAAAATTGTGTTTTAGAAAAAAATAATGTATTCTGCACATTAATAGTAAATAAAAACAGCCTTGAGCAGATAAGATTTCTTGTCCAAAAGATAGTATCTTATATCTGCTGTCATAGTAGGGAAAGAATCCATATAAGCTTGTCTCTAATATGAATAAAAATAATTTATGGACAAAATTTGAAATAATTGGAATGATGTAAGTCAAAATGAAATATGTCTCATTTCTTGTAGAAAACCTAGAGTCATTTGTCAAAGAGATAGGCAAGCAAGTTCATAATCTTCTATATATAAATGAGGCCTGTTATTGCAAGTAAGGTATCAAAATGGAGAAATCATATTCCTTTCAAAAAGCAAAAGTATTTGTGTGATATTTTCAATTTCATCATCAATACAATTTTAAAGTGCATTGCTTTTGTATACAACATCACCAAGGTTAGGTCTCTTCCTCCTTAAATGTAATCACCACAAAATAGGGGGAAAAATGAATGAGAAAACAAAATTTTCACTCTCATCAATAGATAAAATCATGTCTTAATCTTCTCTGCTCTTCTATTCAGCATTTAAAACCAAAACCCAGGCTGGGGTTGTGGCTCAGTAGTAGTGCACTTGTCTGGCATGTGTGAGGCACTGTGTTCAATTCTCAGTACCACATATAAATAAATAAAATAAAGGTTTATCAACAACTAAAAATATTATTAAAAAACCCCAAAACCCCCTAAAAATAAATTCTTTCACATTCTCACATAGAGAATGAATTAACTTGTATTTCTCTACCACCTTCCCAGAATGTTCCTATATTTTTTAATTTTGTTGGTCAATTTAATAAGAATCCCAGGGTCTTTTCCTAAACAGTAGTCAACTCATTAGCAAAACCAGATAAATTGCAAATACTCAAAGACAAGTTCCCTCCACTCATGGCTCTTTATATTGGAGTGTGTTACACTCCATATATTTCCTTGAATGAAGAAACATCTCACACTAAGTATATTGTACAAGTTAAATAAAGCAATGAATGAAATCCCAAAAAAGTATTAATTGCAAGTCAGGAATGATAACCAGTAAAGAAATTAAAGTTTCTGTTTTGATTGTTATGTGTTTTAACTATAGGAAAAAAAAAACATTCTGTCATGGAGGCTGGGAAACTGAGCATTAGATTTATAATATTTGACTCAGTAGAGGCAGTATAATAAAGCATATGCATGTTAGACTCTATGATGCCCAGTGTAGTTTTAACCTGCCTGTGATCTGAGGCAAGATACCTCATCTTCCTATTTTCACATCCATCAAATGGAATTGTTCTGTTTGGCAGATAGGGTTATGCTGAGGGTCAAAATAGGCAACAGTTTGAAATAAATTACTTAAATTACTTCTTTATTTCCATTCTGGGATGGCTCAAAGAAACTGGTACCTGAAAGTTCATGGCAAAAGTTTATGCCATATTAAATTTATTACTTTACTGGTAAAGAAAATCTTGAAAAGATTTGGCTTTGTTACTAAGTGATCTGAAAAGTAGATTTCAAATTAGTCTAACCCATAAGGAAATTGGTTAAAACAGTAACACTACCACCACTACAATTGCCCAGTTGAACAACATGCCCTAGATGTAATAAGTAGCACTAGTACACACACACACACACACACACACACACACACACACACAAATTGTATACATGCATACAACCAAAAGAGAATGCATCTATAAGCATTAAAACAACACCAAAGGTAAAGATATACATAAAGAACTGAAAATGCTAAAATTAAAATAAACATCCTGAAACTCAAATTCAAATTCAAAATATTCAACCAAGTTTATTAGTTCCTTTACAAGAGGTATGTATGCATTTAAAAAAATACTTAGTTGTTGAGGTTGCAAATTCATTTTTTAAACTGATTTTTCCCTTCTATTTTTCCTTTAGGGGAAGTAATAATATCTGCCCTTTTGACTGCAAGGATTTTATTTGTGTGGGGGAGGAAAAAGCATACCTTATGGTGTGTTTATATGCATAGTTATTATTTTTCTATATACTATTGGTAGAAAAGGATTCTAGATTCAATATTTCAAAGAAACTCTATCTTCCCAGAGCTAATGCATTATTGATTTCTCTTTATTTTATTTTGTTTTTGTCTAGCTAAATAGGTTTTGAAAAATCAGGAGACACTGCCACCTTAAGGAAAATTGAGTTTTATACTTTTTTATGCATGTGGAGAATAGATACATTTAAAGGAGTGCCACCTGCAGTAAAATGTTTCAGCAGTCATTGTTTTATGAATACTTACAATTATATTTGGGGGACAATATAAGTATTGTTATTCATGTATATTTTCATAACAATCAAAGCATAGAAAGACTTAGAAAATGGATTACGGTTATTACTACAAGTGTTAGGTTTAATATTTCTCAATAAAATTAATTAGACATAGAAACTATTTTATTGATTAAACAATAAGTTGTTATTTTTATTTTGCCTTTAAATATTTAGCATATGATTTTAATCTCATTATCATAGTTACTCCCCCCATGGACTTTTCTGGATGCCTGTGGGTAAGACCATGTACAAAAATAACATAATTGTTTATTGTAAGAAATATGCTATGGACTTAATTGTGTAACCATAAATTCATATTTCATTTATTTTTATTTTTATTATTTTATTAAATTATTTATTTTGGGGTGCTGGGGATAGAACTCAGGGGCACTCAAACACTGAGACACATCCCAGCCCTATTTTGTTTTTTATTTAGAGACAGAGTCTTACTGAGTTGCTTGGTTCCTAGGTTTTGCTGAGGCTGGCTTTGAGCTTGTGATCCTCTTGCTTCAGCCTCCTGAGCCACCAATCCAAATTCATATTTTAAAATTCTAACCCCTGTATGACTAAATTGAGTCACTACATCTGGTCTTTGGAAAATAATTCAGACAAATAAGAACATAAATATGGGGTTCTAATCTGAGAGGATGGTGGTATTATAAGAAGGAGACAATGATTTCTGTCTTTCTGCAAAGTGAAGACACAGTGAAAAGGTTGCCATCTGCAAGCCACTAAAAGTCCTCATCTGGAACTGACTGTGATGGCACCTTGATCTTGGACTCCCAGCCTTCAGAACTTAGAGAAATAAGTTTCTGTGTTTATGCCACCTAGTCTACTCTATTTTGTTATGGCAGCATGAGTTATCTACTACAAAAATGTAACATTATATTTGGGAGACGATATAAGTATTGTTATTCATGTGTATTTATTGAATCTACAGATCACTACTCAAAGTGATCTGTAGATTCAATAAATCTCTATAAAAGTTACAATAATATATTGTGTGTATATATATATATATATATAATATATATATGTATATATATGAGATACAAGACAAATACAACTATGTGAATTCTGATGATGTTTAAATTAGAAGGGTTCCCCATTTTTAAACAATAGGCTTTATTGCCTTTCATTTTATTAAGTAAAAGCACTGTTTTTGAAGATGTCTTGAAAGTCAACATGCAGACAATAATTTTTTTTTCCTCAGCCAAAGAATACATGACTTATAGTCTTTTTATGAGATAGTATTTACACATGATCCCTTAATCATTAATGTTTCTAAATTACTATTTACTCAAAACATAAATTCTTGCTCTATGTTTATTTTTGCTGTACTCTGCAATGCTATTAAAGCATAATTTCTCAGTATTTCTTTTGTTTTTCTTTAATGATATGACTAAGTGCCAAATGGCTAAAACTAAATATCAGCTCTCAAATATATATTTTCAGGGATAAATAAAGCTTTACATCATTATGGGAGTCATTCATTTCTTAATAATAAACTCAGTGCACTAGTAGTTTAATAATGTTACTTTTATGGTTTTAAATTTTAAGCAATTCACTCAATGCCATTTTATGTCAAATTTACTGCTGCAAAGACAAAAATTTGGGGTAAGTATTTTATATCAAGGAAAAGCTCACATAACAATTTATATCTGAAAAAGTAAACTGAGAAAATAACCTTTTACAAAATATTTTTTCTTAAATAAATAGACTCAGCTAGATGCAGTTGTGCAAACCTGTAGTATCAGCTACTGGGGAGGCAAAAAGGCAGGAGGATCACAGGGTCAAGGCCAACCTCTGTAACTTAGCTAGACCCTGTCTCAAAATAAAATAAAATGGGCCTGGGATGTAGCCCAGTGGCAGAATATTTACACAGCATTATGTGACTTTGAGTTTGATCCCCAGAACCCTAAATAAAATTGATACTCATTGACACAATTTTAGTGTAAGGCACCCTGATTGAATGATAAACTGTTGAGTATAAACATAACAGGTCTTCTTAATTTAATAAATTATACCATTAGGATTATTATTAGAGGTTATTTGATCTATAATTAGAGACTAGAGATTTCTGCCTCTTTGTCCCCCTACTTTTTTGGCAGTGCACATTAGGCAAGGACTCTATCACTGAGCTATATCTCCAGTCCTAAGACTAGAAATTGAAGAAACACAAATAAATTGAAATATATCCTATGTTCATAAAGACATAGCTAAAATGTTCATACTACTCAAAGTGATCTGTAGATTCAATAAATCTGTATAAAAGTTACAATAAATATATAAAGGACTTATATATTTATATAAGATATAAAGGACTTAACTGCCTATTCATACTATCTCATTAGCTATGTGGAGTGGGTTATACAAGATATGGCCACATGGGGAAATAATTTCTGTGGCATGAGCCAATTCCATTACACTAAATATGATCTACATGGAAAGTATCAGCTCTACTAGAACAATTATAAATACATGATAGTTTATAATATTCACCAGTCTCCAAGTTATCATACATAGATATATACAAGGGAAACAAGGCAAATTTAAAACAAGGAACATTTTATAACTACCTGATGGGCCTATAAAAACCTCCCTGAGTTCATATACTTTTCAATATAGTATCAAGGTGAACCTCACTGATTAATTATTGTTTCTTAAGAATTACATATAAGCTGGGTGCAGGGACACATGACTCTATTTCCAGCAACTCAGGAGGCTAGTGCAAGAGGATCCCAAGTTTGAGGCCAGCCTTAGCAACATATTGAGACCCTGTCTGAAAATTAAAAATTTTGAAAAGGGCTGGGGATGTAGGCCAGTGGTAGATTGCCCCTGGGTTCAGTCCCTATTACTAGAAAAAAAAGAAAGAAATTACACATGAAAAAAGACATGCCTGTGTGAGAAAAAAAGACAAAGAGAATGACAACAAGGATTTTTGTGCAGTTTATAAGGAAAGCGGAAAAGTAGTGTTTGTGATCTCAACATGCACGCACCTTCGCACCCAGCTCATTATAATGCAATTTCAAAGCTGTCACTCTTTCATCAAGCTCTTTGGGGTTTTCCGTCTGCTTCTTCTGTACAATTTGACGTCCGGTTTTTATCACCATTTCCACTTCAGACTTCACCTCACTCAGACTTTTATACAAATTCTAAGTTAAAATATAAAATGAAACATAAGAAACAATGTAAAATCAACTCATAATATTAAAAAATACAGGGTTTCACCTTAAGGCTGTTTGGTTTCCATTTTTAATGGAGTAGTATTTGCAGCTGTTGTCAGTATCTAATGTTTGCATTTCTTTTAATTTAATGTTTCTATTTGTGATTATATATATATATTATATAAAATCATGCATAATTTGCAGCTTTTCTTATTATAGTAGGAGTGCATCATACATATTTAGTTCTTTAGTCCGAGCTCATAAAGGTCATTCTAAATATTACAAGATTTCTGTTTGTTAAGCGTTAAATAATCCTAGCCATGAGTTTGGATGAATCAATTCACTCAATCACTGGATATTTATTAGTGTCTATCATGTACCATAGAGCATTTGAGTCACAAGGGAACCTGCAGTGAACAAATCAACATGTTCACTGTTGTCCTCGTGGTGCTTAGGGTAAAATTTTCAGATGATAGTTTCAAAATATATTGTCATATATAAGAATGGGAACTAAATTTAAATATATTAATTCTAATTTTTTTTCTTTTTGGTACTGAGGCACTTAACCACTGAGCCACATCCACAGCCTATATATATAAAATTTAGAGACAGGGTCTCACTGAGTTGCTTAGGAACTTGCTAAGTTGCTGAGGCTGGCATTGAAATCATGTTCCTCCTGCCTCAGCCTCCTGAGCCACTGGGATTATGAATGTATGCCATTAATTTAATATTAAATAAATTAATCTTTCATTTCTCCTGGAAAAATATGTGTTTGTAGTATAGGTTCATGTATGTTTGTATATGTACACTATATATAATGTTTTATAATATAATTTGTTCAGCACTAAACACAAATTACTTATTACTACTAAGAAATAAACTTGCTAGTAGATAATAGTCTCAGAATAAAACTGGGTTTGTTTTCACTTTTCAGTTTAAAATCAATGTGCAAAAGAAGCACTTTGTAAAGGCTGAAAAATTATCTGATTAATTAAGGCTATGGGCATAGTCTATTTCCATCTTAATTCCCTGTTTGATATCTGATGGTAATATTCCTTTATCAATTATGACTTATGTTTGGGCTTTCCAGATTACTTTTACTTCATCTTCCTTCTGTCTTAGAAGATGTCAAAAAATATATAGGCATCTGGAAACATTGAGATCATTCCTTGCTATATGGCAATCAACTATATGACTTTTGGAATCAGAGATATTTCCAAATGTCTTATTCTTTATATTGAAAAATATCTTACTCATTTATCTTAGATGAAAGGTCACATATATATAATACTTAAAGAACAAAATGCTAAATAAACATTTCCACTTTTAATGCTAATAATATTCAGTGGTTCATTTTAGGTGAATTTAAACCATGATTACTCTGAATATACAGTTATAATAATACTTATATTGTTTTCCTAGACACCCTCACACTCCAGTTTATGTTGTCAAAGGGATCACCTGACTTGGTGAATTTCTAATAACAGAGAGAATAGAACATATTCCAAAGTCAAATTAAAACACAATTTGGAGTAAGAGTACTTGGGATATAATCTTGCTATGCCCCTCACAGTTGTTTGTCTTTGTATCCTCTTACGTAATCCTTAGCCTCAAGAATAGAGATGACTTGTGTACATTACTTAGCTTACATGGCCCCCTTTGTTTCTGAAATCGTGATTTATATTGAAACTAGTGATATAGTTGTTCCATATAGATCAATATGCTTCCTTTCTTGATTTTCATTTAAATATATGTATAAAGTGCCATAAGAATCATATAAAGACCTCTTCTGCATTCTTCATAGTCCTTAGAAGAATTTTACATTCAAAAAAGACACTTAAAGAATGACATTTAAGTGGTTCCAATTACAGTAAGAGTTACTGTCTCTCAATACATGGCCAATTTTTGTTCTTAACCTTAAACCTAATTAGTTTATTTATTGCAGTTATCTAAAAGCAATTTTCATAATAAGGAAATTCAAGGGATAGCTGGTTACTTGCCACCAGGTATACATACCACACAATGATTTAACTGTGACTGTACTACTTCCTGTTCAACACTCTTTGTTTCCAGTGCAGGCAAGTGCATCTTCACTTCATCTAAAATCATTTTACTTTCTTCTAGACGCTGTTCAAAATTGGCTGGTTTCTGGAATAATCGAAACTTCATGGAGACATCCTGCAATTTTTTCTGTAAAAACAATGTAAGGAGGCACCAATTTTATTTTGCCTTCCATAAAACAATCAGTCATATTTTTATTAATGCATTTTCTTTCCAAAAATGAAAAGTAAATATTTTTTCTAATCAAACAAAAGAATACACATATTTGAGAAAATACAGTGTTTTTTCTTAGTCTGATATGAAGTAAAAAATAATCTGTTAATATTTTATCTTTAAAAGGCACCAAATCAAGAAAGCCCACACAGAGAGGCATTATAGTCTAGTTTTTGAATAATGCTTTCAATATCACTGTTGCAAAAATCAACACGTCTAATATACACTAGAGGTTTAATGTGTAGATGAAACAAGATCCTTAGTTTATGCAATAAAATATACCTGTGCAACATCAATTTGGGATAGAACTCTTTGGGTAGCCTCCTTTCCTTGGTTATGTTTCTTCATTTCTTCTAAACTGATCTCATGACTTGTCAATTCTGACTGGATTTTCTGTTGGGAGAACAGCATTATTAGTTAGAATAATCTGAATGTTACTACAAAGGACAATACATTTTTCATGAAGATAGAATTTTAAAACTCTCCTAAACCATTACTAAAATGTAGTCTCCTTTAAAATGATAGTAACCACTTTCTTGCCTATCATAAATTATCAAAAACTCAATCATTTACTACTTCCCTATTGGGATAATACTGAAAACTAAATGATCATTTTGACTAAATGATAACAACCAGCTATGTCAGACATCATTTGCAACCAGGGAATTTTCATTTATATCTAATATGTAGGAGTGATACTGTTTTATCTTTGAAATTACACCCCCAAATGACCAATAACAAGTTGTTAATATTTATAAATAAGCTGTTTTACAGGGATAATATATGATGAGAAATTTGCATATGGATAATGTTCCTTAATAGTGATCTTCGATCATTCTTTGCCATATTTCATTTAAATTTCAGGGAAACTATAGATCTAGAAAAGAGAAGTAAAATGTCTCAACTGTCATTTCTCTTTGTCTGATAGACACTTAATAGCTTCCTACAGATATTCATTTATAAACTCTGAGTAACTGTAAATTTTATTTCCATATTTTCTATACTCAATCAGGACCTTAAAATTTCCACTCAAAAATATATCTTTAGTTGACTTATGAATTTTTAACCCAGTTATAGGTATTTATCAAATCCTGCAGTGTGCAGAAAACAATAAATTCATTCATTTCTTTCTGTCAGCTCCAGCAAAAATCAGCTAGTAGTCAAGTTGTTTTAATTTAAAATTCATTGCCAGATCATCATACATGAGAGAAGAATAATCTTAATATGTACCACAGTGCCCATAAAATTATCATGCAAAACAATGTGTGCACTGTATATTAGTATACAATAATTTTTAACAATTGAAGTCAATTCTTGTATTATTAGAAAATATCATTGATTTTGCTTAGCAATTACTACAAAGAGCTATAGCCTTCAATTGAGTAATGAAAATTATAATAAGAAAATGGGCTCAGTGTTGGATGAGTTCCTTCAGATGTATGGTTACAAATTCCAGACATATCTTAATATAATTCGGTAGCATAATGATCCTAAAATCACAAAGTTAAATAAATTATGAATTAGTTAAGTAATAAAAATTCTGCCTTTAAATTATAGGCTAAGGTAAATGTATATTTTAATATATATATATATATATATATAATATTTTCATTGGTTAAATAACTATCATGTGTGGAAATAGTGATATGTTCTTATTCTTCAGAACCCATATAATCTGGGGGATAGGAATTGATCTGGATATCCAATGATATTTTAGAACAAGAAATGCTGAATAATCTACAAAATTTAGTGGGAGTATGTAGATGGAGTGACACTTATACAGGGGGGTTAAATGTTGCCACAGGGAAAGTGGTAAAGTAGAAATGTGACTGATTAGTAAACATTGCAGGGAGTAGCAGATGCTATAGGAACTTTATGGTCAAAAGTTTCATCTATGAAATGCTCAACCCCTTCAAAAATATGGAACATAACAACCATGTCTGTGTCACATAATTCTGGCCACCATCAACCTCATGAATAATTAGAACATGGAAAATGCATGTGTAGAGATATATCCATTAGATTTCTTCTAAATTATTTAGAACCAACAGTAAAAAGTCTGGCCAAATTCTGTGGATATTTAAAGCTGTATTTTGAAATTGTGCTTATGAAATTCTAGCTTATGGTGCTGATTTAAAAAATGCAAAATCTACTAACAGAATGTTTGAACTGGAATTTATTTCCCAAAGAGGACTGTAACTGCAGTACCCACAACACAGGCTACTCTCACCACTCCCCTGTTAAGTGGGTTTATTTCTTCACTTCTTTAAATCTGAATTGGTGTTTGGACTTCCTGGGACAATAGAATACAGTTACAGTAGAAGCGATTCTCCATCAGTTACATCAAAAGTCCTTATCTGACCTGATGGCTCCTACTTCTGTCTTTTTGGAACCCTCAGTTTTAGGGTTCTGTCTCTTAGAATCCATTTAAAACAGTATGTTCCAAGAAGTCCAAGCCACATGAAGAGGCCATAGGTAAATACTTCAGTAAATAATATCAAGTGATATGACAGCAGGCAACTGCTAGCCATGCGAGTGAGTCACTTTGGTGTCCAACCCAGTTGAGTTTACAGGTTCTTCTAATACCAAGTAACTATACTATCAGCTAACAAGTAACTATAGTTATAGTTAGATATAGTTAGATAACTATAGTTTATAGTTAGATACCCCCTTGGGGTATATGGTATAAATATAGTAGATACCCCAAGGGAGAACATCCACTTGAGCCTTTTTTAAGTACACAAAACCATTAGAGATAAGGATGAATGGTTGTTACCAATGACCAACACATGAGCTCTAGAGGCTTTCTGAGTAAAAGCTTTTCTGTTGCCCACAACTTCCTTGAGACATCGTATATGCTTATGGAAAAATTTTCTTAACCAATTTTTTGGCTTTAGTTATTTCAATTGTTTTTGTGTACACAGGATTCCAAACTAATGTACTGGATATGTAAGGCAACATAATTTCTATTTTTAAAAAAGCATTTCAGGTTGAGAAATAACAAGATGTGGAGACAAGGCACTAAAAAGTACGAGGAATTTGGCAGAAATATAACTGGAAATGTAGGTAGAAATTAGCAATTAAATGGTTTTATGTCCTAAATGAATGTCTTTTAGTACTGTGAAAATGAAGCACATTTTAAAATTTGAGACTATTAGAAATGAAAAATAATTTCAGTAAAGTTACAGAATACAAAATCAGTACAAAACCATTAGCATTCTTATACAACACTAGTAAATTTGCTGAGAAGGAAATCATGAAAGCAATACCATTCATGGGAGCTACAAATTAAATAAAAACCTATTAATAAATTTAACCAAGGAAGTGAAGTACCTCTACAATGAAAATTACAAAACACTGATAAAAGAAAATGAAAAAGACACAAAAAATGGAAAGTCCTCCCATGTTCATGTACTAGAATAATATTAAGATGTCTACACTACACACAGTAATTTACATACTCAATGAAATCCCCATAAAAACAACTCAGTATTTTTTTAGAAAACTAGAAAAAAACAACTGTAGAATACTGATTACTAGAGGGTAGGAAGGGTATGGGGTGAAAGGGAGGAAGGACAAAGGTGTTGAGAGCCACAGCCAAAGGGGCCCCAGCAAACTTCCAGCTGCCAGCAAACTTGCAGCTGCCGGCTGATGATTGGCTCACAGCGGCCCCAGCAACATCTAGCTGATTGGCTCCTCCACGGAGCTGCTCATTGGGCTGTTTCCCTGCCCTTTCAGACCACGGAGCTGCTCATTGGGGGACTTCTTTGGCTCCGCCCACATGACCCAGCCAATCGGCCTCAAGAAGAGGAGGATTGTGGGAGGTGGAGAGGCTTGTGGAAGCCGGTGGTGGCAGTTGGGCTCTGAGGGTTTTTTCCTGAGGAGCTGTTTTGCTTGGAGTTTGTAGTTCTAAAAATAAAGTTAGTTTCTTTTGACAAGTGGCTCCTGAATTGTGCCCAGCCAGACTGTGGCACAAAGGAAGATTGGATTTGATCAGTATACAATGAAGATATGTGTTGAAATATTACACTGAACCACATTAATATATACAACTAATACATGTTAATCAAAAATAATTTTTAAAATAAAATGATCATAATTATAAATAATAGTGTTACTGATAATACTCAAAGCAACTGAAGAAACTCACAGTGAGACTGTGTCACTATCAATCAGCAATATTTTGAAATAAGCTGATACATTTTTGATCACAATAGATCATGTATTTGTATGCATATATACAGAAAATTAAGGAGAGGGTGTCAATGTATCTTTGTATGATATGTATTTATTTTGATGTTTTCAAACATTAAAGAGAAAAAGGAAGGGAGGGAAATGAGAACTCATGGAAAACACAGGCATTTAGGGGGCATATAAAAAAAGAACACCAGAAAATGGGGGGATCTATTTAGAAGAATAAGATAACCAGGACAGAGAGAATGTCATTTTAATCAAGTGATGTAAGAATTTTAAGACTTCGAGGGAGGTCAATAATTTCAGTTTTGAGACAGATCAAATGAGATAAGTAGCAATAAGGGTACATTAGCTGGTCAATGAGCACTGTATTTGGGACAGTGTCAGTAGATAATGAGAGCTGAAATCAGATTTTCAAAGGATGAAGCCTGATTAAGGATCATGAAGCATCCTTATGAAAATAATTTTCATGGTTTTTGAAGACTTTGACTCAACACATATTGAAATTCAGGTCAATCAGATTGGAATATGTTTTAAGGCTACATGAAGGCAGCTAATGGGTAAAGTCATTTTTAAAATCTAAGAAGTGATTAGAAAAAAACCCTATGGAAAGAAAGGGAATTGGAATAAAGAACAAAGGTCATATATAGTGGCAAATATTGATAGGGGAAGTAGTAGCACTTCTTCAGAAACCACAATACAAAAATAAGTTTTGATGTGGAGAGGCAAGAAGTTGAATTCTTCCTACTTGATGCTCTTGAGTAATTAGATTGGAATAGCATCAGGAGAAATAACAATGTAGGTCTCCGGGCTCTGACTTGACACCTAGGACAAAGCACTAAAATGTTCTGAGTCTCAGTTTTCTCATCTTCAAAAAAGATGACAACTCAGCAATGGGGTTTGATTAGAATGAGTAGGCAGCACATCTTGAAAATTCTCATAAATAGACCAAAAGAATAGATGAGGTAGTCTATGTAAAAATATCTGTTCAAGTTGTTTGTGCAAAAATTATTCACAAATTGTCAGTGATGTTACATATTTTCTTATAAGGATGAGACCTTTCCTATATCCTAATCAAATTATTGTAACCATTTACCATATTTATTTACAAATATTAACATACTCAAGGAAACATGGCTACAAAGTAAATTCAATTACCTTTAAACTATTATACTGACTGTTAAACTATAATTTAAAAC